TGGCCTCTTTCCCAGAAGGTGTCAAAAATAATAATAAAATAAAATCAAAAGAGCAGCTGCCAAGAAACCTGTTTCTCTTTGATGCTCCATCTTGGCTTCTTGGCCTCCCCTTCCCAATCCTGGCTTCTTCAAATAATGCTGGTTTATTTGTTGCAACACTGAATTGCTGGCAGTTGTAGCCATTGGACCGGTGACCCTAGCTTGGCTACCAAGATTGTGGGGGCAATAAGCTGACTTTGTATATAAAAAAAGAACACCGCTTTGGGGGGGGGCAAAAGCCCTACTAAGCAGGTATATACAAAAGTATGAAGGCTATTGCTTAACGCATTGTAAGCCGCCCTGAGTCTCCGGAGAAGGGTGGCATATAAATCGAACCAATAAATAAATAAATAAATATGTATAAATGGTAAATTGAAGTAAATGGATATGTAAGAAATGTTTACTGATGCGAAAATGTTGAAAATTGTAAAACAAAATTAAAAAAAAACCATGACAACATATATAAGTTAATGGCATATAAAGGCAGAGATCTCTGTAATGGTACTTTAATACTCTGATGATGTCAGCAGATGGCTGATGAAAGCTTAGTAAAATAAAATTTTAATTCTTTTAAAATTTTAAAATCTTAAATTCCAGAGTTCGCAGTATGTCTGCTTCTTTTTTTACTAATATACCTGGAACTCGTATTTTTAGAATAGTTATATACATACATACATACATACATACATACATACATACATACATACAGTATATGAAAGCAAAACACACCCATTTATTCAGAGAAATAAATTGGCATTGCTTAGATAGTAACAACTGCAGATAAAATGATCCCAGATCACTTGGAATCTGCACAAGACAAAGAATTATGTCTCTGCAAGGGGGGCATTTTTACAATAAGCCAATATAGTAAAATATGGATGACTGCGTCAGGATTTCCATCACACAGATAGTCATTGTTTGAGTCGTATTGCCCTGAAATATGGTTGTTGGAAGAGTATTCAAGCTTGCCAGAATTGAATGTTTTTTCTGCTGTTGGGAATTTTTATTTGGCTGAAATTCCTAGCTGGCTTTAAAAACAACAGGTGAGCAGTTTCCAAGTACTGGTACATCTATTTGACTATGATAACCAAGATTGAGAAATATCTGTTTGTTATCATTCATTGATAGCTTTGTAAATTCTACATTTGGCATCCAAGGCAAACTTATTGTGGAGACATTACACACACACCCTCCCTAAGTGGGATGTCCTGAAATTGAATGATTTAACATCTCTGCTTATGCTCAGGAGAACATCTTCAAACAAAGACTTTTATTAAATTGAAATCTCCAACAGGAATTTTGCTTTTGATTCCTCTCTCTGTCTCTCTCTTTCTTTCTCTGTCTCTCTCTTTCTCTGTCGCTCTCTTTCTCTCTCTTTCTCTCTCTTTCTCTCTATCTCTGTCTCTCTCTTTCTCTCTCTGTCTCTCTCTTTCTCTCTCTCTCTGTCTCTCTCTTTCTCTCTGTCTCTGTCTCTCTCTCTTTCTCTCTCTGTCTCTCTCTTTCTCACTCTGTCTCTCTCTGTGTTGCTCTCTTTCTCTCTTTCTCTCTCTGTCTCTCTCTCTCTGTCTCTTTCTCTCTCTCTCTTTGTCTCTGTCTCTCTCTCTGTCTCTCTCTCTCTGTCTCTCTCTTTCTCTCTCTCTCTCTCTCTCTCTCTTTCTCTCTCTGTCTCTCTCTCTCTCTTTCTCTCTCTGTCTTTCTCTTTCTCTGTCACTCTCTCCCTCTCTCTTTCTCTCTCTCTTTCTCTCTCTTTCTCTCTGTCTCTGTCTCTCTGTCTCTCTCTCTTTCTCCCATTCTCTCTTTCTCTTTCTCTCTCTCTCTCTTATATCTCTCTATCTCTCTCTCTCTGCTCTGGATTGTCTTCTGGTTTATATACAAGTCTGGCCATCAAAGCACATTTGAAGAGAGGATAAACTTCTGATTTTCTAAATTGTAATGTGCTTCACAGCAAGCTTCATTCCCGCGATAGGTTGATATCAATCACTCCTTGAAATACAATGAGTTGTCCACCTATTTGAATCGCAAATAATCGCCTGGATTAAGGCAAAGTTACCTTCCTCTCGTCTTTAAATTCCATAGAAACCTAGAATAGAATAGCAGAGTTGCAAGGGGCCTTGGAGGTCTTCTACTCCAAACCCCTTCTCAAGCCTATACCATTTCAGACAGGTGGCTGTCCGGTCTCTTCTTACAAGCCTCCAGTGATGGAGCAGCCACAGCTCCTGAAAGCACAATTGTTCCATTGGTTAATTGTTTTCAATGTCAGGAAATTTTTCCTTAGTTCTAGGCTGGACCTCTCTTTCCATCCATTGCTTCTTGTCCTGCCTTCAGGTGCTTTGGAGAATAGGTTGACTCCCTCTTCTTTGCGGCAGTCCCTCAAATATCTCCCCTGGTCCTACTTTTCACTAGATTAAAGGTAAAGGTTCCCCTGGCACATATGTGCTAGTCGTTCCTGACTCTAGGGGACGGTGCTCATCTCCGTTTCAAAGCCGAAGAGCCAGCGCTGTCCGAGGACGTCTCTGTGGTCATGTGGCCGGCATGACTCAATGCCAAAGGTGCACGGAACGCTGTTCCCTTCCCACCAAAGGTGGTCCCTATTTTTCTACTTGCATTTTTTACGTGCTTTCGAACTGCTAGGTTGGCAGAAGCTGGGACAAGTCACAGGAGCTCACCTTGTTACACAGGGATTCGAACCGCTGAATTGCCAACCTTTCGATCGACAAGCTCAGCGTCTTAGCCACTGAGCCACTGCATCCCTTTTTCACTAGATTACCTATATCCAATTTCTACAACAGTTCAGAATGTTTTAGCCTCCAGTCCCCTAATCTTCCTTGTTGCTCTTCTCTGCACTTTTTCCAAAGTCTCACCCTCTGTTTTAATAAGCGTATCTTAGGTAAGTCTGACTATAATTTATCCCGTAGATGCTGAAATAGCTGAGAATTCCGTTTGGAATTTGATGGATTTTACATAGAACACAGATGGAAGATGAAGAGGCCAAAGAGTTTAGCTCTACAATTGCTCCCTCCCGCCAAACTATTTTAATATTTATCCTTCTTCAGAATAGTGTTTCACAAAAGGAAGTTGTGTTCTTTGCAAGATGTGATTCCAGATGCTATTTTAGCTTGAGTTACACCCCATTCTCCTGGACTGGGATGGTGCTGGGTTTATCCTAAGTGACTGAAGAGGAAAAAATGTTTACATCTTTATGTCTTTGGAGGTTCTCAGCCATCTGGGTCATGGTTGACCCAAAGGTGTTCTTTCAAAAGGATTTTGTTTTTCCTTGAAGATGTTTCACTTTTCATCCAGGAAGCTTCTTCAGAACTGCCACAAAGAAGAGGGGGTCAACTTATTCTCCAAAGCACCTGAAGGCAGGACTAGAAGCAATGGTTGCAAACTAAGCAAGGAAAGAAGCAACCTGGAATTAAAGAGAAACTTCCTAACAGTGAGGACAATTAACCAGTGGAATGGAGCTTGTGGATGCTTCATCACTGGAGGTTTTTAAGAAGAGATTGGACAGCCAGTTGACTGAAATGGTATAGGATCTCCTTCTTGAGCAGGGGGCTGGACTAGAAGACCTCCGGGGTCCCTTCCAGCTCTACTCTGATTGAAGAAGCTTCTTGTGGATGAGAAGCAAAATGTCTTCAAGGAAAAACAAAAGTCCACTTTCCTTTTGAAAAAGCATTGAGTTCACATCTTTACAGATTGACTGTAGCAGTGGTGGGTTCCTCCTGGTTCGGCCCGGTTCGGCCGAGCCTGTAGCAGTGACGATATGACATCACTGAACCATTCTCTTTGTTCAGGAGCTGGGCCTTCCCATCCCCCGCCTCCCCCATGTTATTCTTACCTTTTATTTGGCCCTGCCCCAAATCTATTCACTGCCTCCTGAGTCCCAGCTGATTAGCTAGAAGAAGAAAAACTGTTTAAACTCTTGCCGCAGGGCTTCAAAGGGCCGCCCTACAGCTGATCAGTGTTAAAAGGCAGTGTGGTGGTAGACCGGTGCCTCCAAAAACAAATGGGTAGACCGGTGCCTCCAAAAACAAATGGGTAGACCGGTGCCTCCAAAAACAAATGAGTAGACCGGTGCCTCCAAAAACAAATGAGTAGACCGGTGCCTCCAAAAACAAATGAGTAGACCGGTGCCTCCAAAAACAAATGGGTAGACCGGTGCCTCCAAAAACAAATGAGTAGACCTGTGCCTCCAAAAACAAATGGGTAGACCGGTGCCTCCAAAAACAAATGAGTAGACCTGTGCCTCCAAAAACAAATGAGTAGACCTGTGCCTCCAAAAACAAATGGGTAGACCGGTGCCTCCAAAAACAAATGAGTAGACCTGTGCCTCCAAAAACAAATGGGTAGACCGGTGCCTCCAAAAACAAATGAGTAGACCTGTGCCTCCAAAAACAAATGAGTAGACCGGTGCCTCCAAAAACAAATGAGTAGACCTGTGCCTCCAAAAACAAATGAGTAGACCGGTGCCTCCGAAAACAAATGAGTAGACCTGTGCCTCCAAAAACAAATGAGTAGACCGGTGCCTCCAAAAACAAATGGGTAGACCTGTGCCTCCAAAAACAAATGAGTAGACCGGTGCCTCCAAAAACAAATGAGTAGACCGGTGCCTCCAAAAACAAATGAGTAGACCTGTGCCTCCAAAAACAAATGGGTAGACCAGTGCCTCCAAAAACAAATGAGTAGACCGATGCGTCCAAAAACAAATGAGTAGACCGGTGCCTCCAAAAACAAATGAGTAGACCGGTGCCTCCAAAAACAAATGAGTAGACCGGAACGCTCCAAGAACAAATGGGTAGACCGGTACAGTTCTACAAGCAGTTAAAAGCCTGGTAGAATTGTCACATGACCATCAAACCACGCCCACAAAATAAGCCACGCCCACAGAACCGGTAGTAAAAAAATTTAGAACCCACCCCTGGACTGTAGTATATATTGCATACAAAAGTGATCCATCCAACTAAAATGAGAAAATGGTTTCAATACCCTTTATTTATTTTTTTCAGGCAAATAATAGTTGGGGTATCCAATTAAATACTACGGTGTTGTTATTTTATTTTTAATTCAAAATCTACCACATATTCACCTTCATGGGCTTCATCATGCTAAACCTATACACATTCATATCTGGCATAAGAGAGATGATTTAAAAAAAAAACAAAAAACAATGAAATACATGTATCTACAGGACTGACAATCACAAAGAAAAGCATTGTTGAAGAAAAATTCATCCAACTTTACAAATGTCAAAAAAGCGGTCACAAAACAGATTTAGTACACATGGATGGAAAAATATAGAGAGAGTGTGTTGAGCATCTTTACATTTGGCAAATTCAGGTCTAAAAGATGTTTCTTCATTATTATTATTATTATTTTTTTTTAAAAAAGAATTATATACATTATTTCGGTATCCTCAAAATAGGAAGGTATTAAATACAAACAAACACAACAGCCAGTATTATAAACATAAATCTTTGGGGTATCAGGATGAGGATGGTTTTTTTTAAATGGGCAGAATTTTTAACGAATTCTGGGTTTTGACAAAATGAAGTTCTCCAGATGTTGCCCATCGTTCTAGTTGGAGAACCTGCTGGTTGGAGTTAATGGAACTGAAGACCAATATATATATATAAAAGGAGCCTTGGTAGTACAGTGGTCTAAAGCACCCTGTTATTAAGACCAGCTGCCTGCAATTACTGCAGGGTTCGAATCTCGCCAGGCTCAAGGTTGACTCAGCCTTCCATCCTTTCAAAGGTAGGTGAAATGAGGACCCAGTTTGTGGGGGCAATAAGCTGACTTTGTATAAATATACAAAAGGATGAAGGCTATTGCTTAGGACATTGTAAGCCGCCCTGAGTCTCCGGAGAAGGGCGGCATATAAATCAAATTAATATGTATATGTATATATGGAGAACACCACACATGGAAACCTGGGCAGATGGAACAGTGAACTTGGAGATTGGGTCCAAATTCGAGAATACTAGTTTATTCCATCTTCTATCAATCACTCTACTCATTTCCAATTCCAGAATATTTTTTAAAGAAAACAATTCCAGCTTTCATTTTTAAAGGGTCTAGATATTAATATCTGGCATCAGTGCATTTCTTTCTCTTAATGTTTGACTGGGGAAGTGGTCAGATCTAGCCATAGAGATTTTTCCCTCCAAACTGTGGGTACCCACTCTTAGTAAGCTCAAAGCTGAGGCTGGGATTGATTCATTTTCGTGATTTAGAGGATGGTGAGTGAAAAGAAAGAGATAGATGATGATAGCTAGAGATAGCTAGAGATGATAGCTAGAGGATGGATAGATAGATAGATAGATAGATAGATAGATAGATAGATAGATGGTAGATAAATAGTAGATAGATGGTAGATTGATCGATCAATAGATAGATAGATAGATGCAGAGGTGGGTTTCAGCAGGTTCTGACCAGTTCTGGAGAACCGGTAGTGGAAATTTGGAGTAGTTTGGAGAACCGTTAGTAAAAATTCTGACTGGCCTCACCCCCATCTATTCTCTGCCTCCCGAGTCCCAGCTGATCGGGAGGAAATGGGGATTTTGCAGTATCCTTCCCCTGGAATGGGGTGGGAATGGAGATTTTACAGTATCCTTCCCCTGGAGTGGGGAGGGAATGGAGATTTTACAGTATCCTTCCCCTGCCACACCCACCAAGCCATGCCACGCCCACCAAGCCACACCCACAGAACTGGTAGTAAAAAAATTGGAAACCCACCACTGGATAGATGATATAGATAGATAGATGGTATAGATAGAGACAGACAGACAGACAGAGACAGACAGATGATAGACAGATGATAGATGATAGACAGGTGATAGATAATAGATGAAGATAAATAATAATAGATGATAGATAGATGAATAGATGGACAGTTAATAGATATAAGCTAGCTAGCTAGCTAGCTAGCTAGCTAGAGATAGATAGATAGATAGATAGATAGATAGATAGATAGATAGATAGATAGGAGAGAGAGAGAGAGAGGGAGGGAAGGAGGGAGGGAGAGAGAGAGGGAGAGGACAGCTGGAAATTGCCATGTTCAGAAATAACTTATATGGAAAGATCAAATAAGAGCACAAGAGGTAGCTTTAGTCCATGTAGGCTATATTAGTATCATGATTTCTTAATGTGGGTCTCATACCACATAAGCACCATTTTGACAGCTCTTCTATAACCCTCCTTGCCAATGCCAATTTGAAATTACTCAAAAGTAGCCACAAGGCGTGTCGGATTGAAGTTCTTGCATCCCGATGATTGTTGGGAGAATTCCAACAGGGGTGGAAAGCCAGAACATCTGGGGAAGGCTGTTCTCAGACTAAACGTAATTCATTCTCTCTTTGTCCCACTACACCTAATTATTGGCTTCTTTACTTATATTCTCATGGTGGGTAGAAAGAATTTATGGTATATGGAAAGCAATTTTCTGTTAAGTAACTGTGAAAGCTAATCCTGGCAAAATCAGAAGGAAACAGCTCGATTACACTAACATTACACAAATGATAAATACTTCCTCCCAACCAAATGCAGAAGGTGTCAAGTTGGTGGAACCATCCAGCGCAAGAGGCCACCAAGAATTAATCTTGAGTTGGGTTTTAGTAGAGCTAAATTTGTCCGAAAGAACTCCCCTAAACACCCTTATCAGAAATTCCAGATCTTTCATTCACTTCCAGCATGACTTCCAATTCTAGGATCAGCCAAGAGGAACTTGAGAGTGATTACGGATTCCACTTGGAGATCAATCTTCCTCTTTTGAAGGTCAGACTTGAAATAAAATTGACTAGGAGTATCTTTGAAGAGGGGTGACTACTGTGCCTTGATATTACATACGTCATGCTACCATGTAGTTTGTTCTCTGTATTGGTTTTGCTCACAGAAATATCTCTAGCTGGGCTTGAGTGTTGAGCTCCGCTACCAAACATTTGTGTGGAGGTCGTGTCTCAACACTTCATTAAACATCACGGAGAAGTATGACAGAGAACAGATGAACAGTTGGCAGCTTTATTCCTTTCTTTATGATCGGTGAAAGGGTTAGAAAAGCAGAAACACCAACTTCCACAGCTAGAGGTCATTGCAAGAAAGGTTAAAAATGAAGGCAGAGTAGACTTATATGCTTACAACGGGACTGATTTTAACAGAGGTTGAAACTGCGACGTTAGGAGAAATGAGGTGGAGCGTGTTAAGAATAGAATGACAGAGTTGGAAGGGACCTTGGAGGTCTTCTAGTCCAACCCCCTGCTTAGGCAGGAAACCCTACACCACTTCAGACAAATGGTTCTCCAACATCTTCTTAAAAACCTCCAGTGTTGGAGCATTCACAACTTCTGGAGGCAGGTTGTTCCACTGATTAATTGTTCTAATTGTCAGGAAATTTCTCCTTAGTTCTAGATTGCTTCTCTCCTTGATTAGTTTCCACCCATTGCTTCTTCTCTCCTTGATTTTTTCCACCCATTGCACCTACCCTCAAGTGCTTTGGAGAATAGGTTGACTCCCTCTTCTTTGCGGCAGCCCCTGAGATATTGGGACACTGCTCTCATGTCAGCCCTAGTCCTTCTTTTCATTAAACTAGACATACCCAGTTCCTGCAACTGTTCTTCGTATGTTTTAAGAAAGAGCACGCCAGCATTCATCTTGGATGTATGCCTATTAATGCAAATTGCAAAATTGGTTCTGCAGTACATATGAGAACTGGGAGTTATTTGTGTGGGAATTGGAACATCTGTTTGGGAAATGTCCTGGAGAAAGCAGACACTGTCCCAGAGTAGGATCCACCACCACAGATTTGCTTGGTGCTTCTCAGTTTACATGAAATGTTCTTGAAAAAGCCACATGGCCTAGGTAACAATTCACACATGACCAAAGAGATATCAGAGGCTGCTTGGCATAACTGTTTCTTGAGTGAGCCTCAGGGGGAAACTGGTTGACTCTGAACTTTTCAGACCAGAGTAGAGATAAGGAATCAGTGGCTTAATTGACTTTTTTTAATTAAAAAAAAAAAAGCATTCCTATTTGACTCATGCTTCACCATCATCCCCCATCATCCCTTGCGGAGTGAAGTCTGGGCAACTGAATGGAGCTAGCCGAGAGTTTTAATGGCCGGATGTGCTTCCTGTTGCCAGTACGGAGTTTCGTTCAGCAGATATATTCTCAGTGTGAGAGAAACATCTGCCTCCACCTAGGATCGAACTCACAGCCTCCTGCTTGTGAGGCGAGAGCTCCACCTCTAGGCCACTGCACCACTCTTCCTATTCGACTCACGCTTCTCTCCAGTGAATATTCTGCCTTATGAGGTCACCATCGTCATTTGTACTTCCTTGAATTCTGCAATGCAATTCTCCTATTAAAAAGTCAAAAACCCATAAATAAGGAACGTTGTACACACAAATTAGGTCGAAAACGGATCAAAGGCATGTATTAATTGAAGTAGCCCTATTGTTACGTGGTCTTCAAAAGACGTCACAAGCTGACTTTAATTAAACTCAACATTTGGCTAAATCAGAAAAAGATTAGAGTTGAAAAGTACAGATTTTTTGTCGCTATCAACGTTTGATCAAAAATTGGAGGGAACTGGTGATATAGGTGCCAACTATGCTTCCGTGTGTTTTTCCCCTTGATTTTCACTCTTGGCCATCTCCCATGGAGCGTGGAAAATTGGATACTTCGCTTGGGATCTACCACGACATTCAGGGGTGGGTGTGGCCATGGGGGCGTGGCCTACTCAGCCTCCTGCACCATGGCTGGGGGGAGGGGCGTTTTTGGCCTCCCCAGGCTCCGGAGGCTTTCCTCGAGCCTCCAGGAGGGAGAAAATGGCTTCCCCCAGCCTCCAGAGGCCCTCGGGAGGCCAGAAATGGGCCCATTTCTGGACTTCCGGTACTTTTGGTAGGCCCATTTTTCACCCTCCCCAGGCTCTGGAGGCTTTCCTGGAGCCTACAGGAGGGCGAAAACAGCCTCCCCCAGGCCCACCAGAGGCCCTCCAGACGCCAGAAATGTGCCCATTTCTGGACTTCCAGTAGTCCCATTTTTTGTCCTCCCAGAGCCTCCATGCACGCCTTGCAGTTATCTGGCATCCAAAATAGGCCGCATGGAGACTATGCGGGGCGGGATGCAGGGTCAGCCAGTCCTTGTAACAACCGGTTCGGGCGAATCATCTGGTTCACCCGAATCGGTCCAAACTGGCTGAATCCCACCTCTGATTCCTGAACAAGCAGAAGATTCCAAAACATATTGAGATGAATGTCCTTTCTATTGCTTGCCTTCCCAGTGCGAGCTATAGAAACAAAGTGAATGGAGAAGACCTCATGCAGGACTATGTTTTATTCATTCATGTGTTATGAACATATGCAGAAGTGGGCTGCTAACCGGTTCAGACCAGTTCGGGCAAACCGGTAGTTCCAAGCAGCGGCTGGGCCAGCCCACCCACCCTGGCACTATCCCGTCCTATATAATCGCTGTTTTTCCGATGCCGCAAGCGCACTCACATTTTCGGTTCTGGGTGAACTGGTTGTTACAATATGTGATCCCTCCCTACCTCTGAACATATGTCCCGAATGGATTATATCACTACACAGGATGTCAGCCAATGCTATCAATATAATGGCATGCAGCCATCTGTATTTGTCTGGATACATATGAGTACTCTTGTGATAGCTTTCCCATCATTATGCAGGCTACACTGTGTATCTCATGAGGGTTGCAAGTGGGTATTTCATTAACTTTTTTTCAGGTTCAGTTTAAGACAATTTTCAAATTCCTAATTAGATCAAATTACTGCTGTCAAGTCTATCAACATACAGGTAACTCTATGTATTGTGGGTTCTGTGTGTACTATTGTATTACGGGTGAGATGTTTCGTAAAATAAATTATTGTAACTTCCAGCAAATATTTACCCTCGTGCTACTTTTCTCCTTCACTTGATCAAACCCAGGTTTAATACAGGTAAGTCCTCGACTTACAACAGCAACGGAGCCCACAATTGACGCTCTTAAGTGAGACGTTTGTTAAGTGAGCTTTTCCCCATTTTATGACTTTTCTTGCCGCAGTTGTTAAGTGAATCCCTGAAGTGGATAAGTTAGCAACCCGGTTGTTAAATGAATCTGGTTTTTCCCATTGACTTTGCTCGTCAGAAGGTCGCAAAAAGGGATTATGTGACCCCGGGACGCTGTGACCGTCATAAGTAGGAACCAGTTGCCAAGTATCTGAATTTTGATAATTATAATTATATTGCTGCAAAGGTCATAACTGTGAAAAACAGTAACTGTGAATGGTCATCAAATGAACTGTTGTAAGTCGAGAACTATATGTACTACCATGTTTCCCCGAAAATAAGACCCTGTCTTATATTTTTTTTGAACCCTGAAATAAGCGCTTGGCCTTATTGCCATGCGCTCAAAAGCCCAATTGGGCTTATTATCAGGGGATGTCTTATTTTGGGGGAAACGGTACATGTTTGCATTGTTTTTTAGGATCCATTTTATACAAATACACAATGGAAATGCAATATTTTTTTTTTATCTCAGCTAACCGAACACGGTACATGCCACAACAGGGGTGAGTTTAGCCTTCCCCGGTCTGAGGCTCTTTTAAACTGTGATGTATTCACTCACAACCCCGTAATTCCTAATCGGCATGATCCTCCTGTGACATTAATATTGGGAAATTGACTTTGGAATTGAATTTGTGCATCCACAAGAGCTCGTTTCTCAACGCAACGTACCGTAAACAGAGAATCACACATAGACACGCACAAAACCATACATGTAGATGGAGACCACTCCAAGTCACTCTTTGTCCTAACCCACTCTTTCCTTCCGACCTTCCATGACTCCAAGCTGGACGTTCAGTGCTTCGTCATCAGGACAACAAAGATGACCTCAAAACATGGCACAATGCCCTCTCTGAAGGTTTAGAGAGCGAAAGCAAGGAGGGATCAATAGGTTTACTTCAAGGTGGACATCTCTTTGGACTTGGTCTTAGTTGTCTGATTTCAGCTTGAGGGTCCTGAACTTTTGTCGAGCGGGCTTGGTTACTCTTTCGCTCTACTCTCAGCGGAGAAAGAAAACCACCTGGTTAAAAATGAATTCCTTGAGTGAGGGTACAAAATGGCAGTGGTGATGAAGAAGAAGTTTATGGATAGAGCTTGGCCCTTACGATCCGGGCCACTGGTTCCTACGGTTCCTGCTTTTCCGGCTGTTGAGAAGAGCCTTTAGTTTATTGTAGTCCCCTCTCATCTTTGAGGAACCATCAGCCTGTTGACCCAATTGCCGCGTGTCCTTGCAGTATTGATTAATCATCTGAAGTTCGGAATGGCTGAATGATCCAGCCAAGTCCTTGGGGTGGAACTGCAAAGCGTGGAGCGAACTGGCCCAGGTCCACGGAGACCACTTGTCCGTCATGAAGGCCACGGTGTCTGAATCCAAAACCTTGAAGTTCACCTTGGCTATGGTTTGCTTGAAGCCATTTTCCGTGGCGATGCAGTGGTACGTCCCACGGTCAGCTTCCTGCACCGAACGGATTAGAAGCCCTTGCTGTGTCGCTAGGATTCGTTCACCGAGTTTCACCTAGGGACAGTCCAAAATATATATGTTTAAAAGTTTAAGAGACTTGGGTCAAAAATGTTACTTTTTTAAAAAAATTTAGATGTCATTTGGTTAATATATCCTACTACTAAATCATTTGATTTATTAACAAATTCCTCAAATAAATAAATAAATAATTGTTAATACATAAAATAACAGAAGAGTTGGAAGGGACTTTGTAGGTCATCAAGTCTACTTCCCTGCCCAAGCAGGAGACCCTACACCATTTTTGACAGATGGCAGTCTAATCTCTTCTTGAAAGCCTCCAGGGATGAAGCTCTCACCACTTCTGAAGGCAACTTCTGTCCCATGGGTTGATTGTTCTCACTGTCAGAAAATTTCTCCTTATTTCTAGGTTGAATCTCTTCTTGATGAGTTTCCATCCATTATTCCTTGTCTGGCCTTCAGGTGCTTTGGAAAACAGGTTGACCCCCTTCCTCTCTGTGGTAGCCTTTCAAATATTGGAAGATGGCTATCACGTCTCCCCTGGTCCTTCTCTTCACTAGACTAGCCAAGCCCAGTTCCTGCAACCGTTCATCGTATGTTTTAGCCTCCAGTCCCCTAATCATCTTGGTTGCTCTTCTCTGCACTTTTTCTAGAGTCTCAACACCATCTAATTCATCAAACTAATAAATAAATTATTAACCAATCATTCGGTTTTCTTCATCAGACATTGCTATTGTACAAAACACTGGATTTTTGTAATTTTTTTCTTTTAGTTTTCCTGCACCGACGGACCTTCTACGATACAGTTTGAAGAAGTATTTAATTTGTCGTTCAAGTGTTACCAGAAATTATTAATCTAGGATGTAAACAAACAAAAGGACTTTTAATTGATGAAAGCAGTGCAGTTAGTGCTCCCTTTAATACTTGTGATCTGGATGTTATTCAGATGCTGATGATCAGTAATGTAAAAGTATATCTTTGCCCACATAGAAACAATTTATAAATTTAAAAAAGTGATTCATTCTATTTCATTAAAATAACCCTTCCCTGGGCTTCAGCCTGGTCATCTCCTACAGGCACTGTCCATAAAGAAATTGCTGGATTATGACTGATCCTTCATTCCATCCAATTATATTCTTATTTCACTCGTACACTTTGAAGCAGTTAAAAGAATTTTAATTTTGTTAACTCGATTGTGAGCATTCTTGGCACGTTAAAGAACACTCTGTTATTTTGTGTATCTTGGAGGGCGGGGGACCTAACAGCTTTATGACAGTGGTGAAATTAAAAAATTTCCCCTACCAGTTCTGTGGGCGTGGCTTGTTGGGGGGGGAGGTCATGTGACTGGTGAGTCCAACTCGACGTGGCTTGTTGGGGGGAAGTCATGTGACTGGGCGTGGCCAATTTGACATCACTCACATCGAGGGGCTCCTCACCGGTCCCTCCCCTCCCAGCCACTCCTTCTCGCGAATGGCAGGAAAATGGGGAGGGGAATATTCCTGCCTACCATCCTTTCCTCAGTCTGTGTTGAGATTGAGGAATGGATGACAGGCAGGAAAATCCCCTTCCCCATTTTCCTGCCTTTCACGAAAATGGCTCCATTGCAGCTGCTTCCCATCGGCCCCCTCCCTCCTGGGGACTACCTTAAAGGGACAGGCTGCAGCAGCTCCGTTCTGAATGGAGGGAGAAAAGTTAGCTTTCTCTCTGCTGCATTTAACATTGAATTCTGTGAAATATCAAGTGGCCAGAAGAGGTGAGCGGCAACCGGCCAGCGTGAGTGGGTGGGGTCAACGAGGGGTGGTTACTACCAGTTCAGCAAACTGATGCCAATAATCCCTAGCGGTTCGCCCGAACCAGTCCGAACCGGTAAGATTTCACCCCTGCTTTATGATCTGTTGACCTAGTCCTGGTGATAACACATTATTTCTCGTTGCTTTTCAATAAGGTCACTCACCTCTTTCCTTCGGTCGTTGTCCTTTTGGAAAAGCCATTTGATAGAAGCCTGGGGAGATTTAGGTGTACACTCAAGGAAAGTGGTGTTGTTTTTGACTCCGTATTGAATGACTTCAGCTGCGTTTCGATAAGCTAGAAGGTTAAATCAACATTATCAACACTTTGAGAATCATTGGTGTTTGGTCCAATAGATGCCACCCCATAAGATTAGATTGGAATAGCGCTTGAATATAATAAAAATGAAGAAAAAAATTAGTTAGCAAAAGTTGCATTACTTGGGACAGGGCACATTCTATGATGCTATCTTTAACTATCCTAGATGCACTTAGAACTATCTGATATTACCGTAATTGTTAGAAGAAACCCAGATTGTGATGCTACCTTATCTATATCCTAGATGCAACTGTCTGGTTTGGCTCTGCAACCCAACAAGACAGACACAGACTTCAGAGGATAATTAGAACTGCAGAAAAAACAATTACTACCAACCTGCCTTCCACTGAGGACCTGTATACTGCAAGAGTCAAAAAGAGGGCTGTGAAAATATCTACAGACCCCTCGCATCCTGGACATCAACTGTTTCAACTCCAATCCCTCAAAATGATGCTATAGGGCACTGCACACCAGAACAACTAGACACAAGAACAGTTTGTTCTGAATGCCATCACTCTGCTAAACAACTAATTCCCTCAACACCGTCAAACTAGTTACTAAGCCTGTATTATGATTATTTTTCTCATCCTTCCTATTACCTATCTCCTTTTCTACTTATGACTATAACTTTGTTGCTTGTATTTTTACGATTTATATTGTTCTGTTTGTTTCTTAGTATGATTTGATTGCTTATTTAGTATCCTATCACTAAGTGTTGTACCTTATGATTCTTGATGAATGCATTTTTATGTACACTGAGAGCATATGCATCAAAGATAAAATTCCTTGTCTGTCCAATCCCACATGGTCAATAAAGAATTCAATTCAGTTCAGTTCAGTTCAGTTCAGTTCTGTTCTGTTCTGTTCTGTTCTGTTCTGTTCTGTTCTGTTCTGTTCTATTCTATTCTATTCTATTCTATTCTATTCTATTCTATTCCATTCCATTCATTCCATTCCATTCCATATTTTCTATTCTATTCTATTCTATTCTATTCTATTCTATTCTATTCTATCTATTCTATTCTATTCTATTCTATTCTATTCTATTCCATTCCATTCATTCCATTCCATTCCATTCCATATTCTCTATTCTATTCTATTCTATTCTATTCTATTCTATTCTATTCTATTCTATTCTATTCTATTCTATTCTATTCCATTCCATTCCATTCCATTCCATTTCCATTCCATTCCATTCCATTCCATTCCATTCCATTCCATTCCATTCTATTCTATTTTCTATTCTATTCTATTCTGAATTATTTTTTACTCCAAAGTCTTGGAATGCCAATATTACGACTGTCTCAATCTTTTTCAGCAATGTAATGATTTTCACTCCCCTCCACCTTTTCAACAATAGCAGTGTTTGGTGCGTTGTGTTTCAGGCGTTTTGTCAATCTGCATTTTCAAGCCCACGAAAATTGTGACCTTTGCCTTTTTAAAGATTTTTCCAGGTGTGTAATCTTTCAAGGTGTGGTTTTACAAGGTTTTAATGAACAGGAAAGCCACGTTAAAAAAAAAAATTACAGGATAAGAGAGTTGGAAGGGACCTTGGAGGTCTTCTAGTCCAATCCCTTTTTTTTTTTTTAATTTGATTTATATGCCGCCCTTCTCCGGAGACTCAGGGCGGCTTACAATGCGTTAAGCAATAGCCTTCATACTTTTGTATATTTTATACAAAGTTAGCTTATTGCCCCCACAAATTGGGTCCTCATTTCACCTACCTTAGAAAGGATGGAAGGCTGAGTCAACCTTGAGCCTTGGAGAGATTCGAACCAGCAGAAATTGCAGGCAGCTGTGTTAATAACAGGGTGCACTAAACCACTGTACTATCAAGGCTCTTGCTCAAGCAGGAGACTCTATGCCATTTTAGATAAAGATTGGTTGTCCAATCTTTTCTTGAAAACCTCCAATGAGGGAGCATTTACAACTTCTGGAGGCAAGTTGCTCCACTGATTAATTGTTCTAACTCTTAGGAAATTTCTCCTTACTTCTAAGTTGCTTCTCTCCTTGATTAGTTTCCACCCATTGCTTCTTCTCCTGCCCTCAGGTGCTTTGGAGAATAGCTTGACTCCCTCTTCTTTGGGGAAGCTCCTGAGATATTGGAAGACTGCTATCATGTCTCCCCTAGTCCTTCTTTTCATCAGACTAGACATACCCAGTTCCTGCAACTGTCCTTCATATGTTTTAGCTTCCAGTCCCCTAATCATCTACCGGTTCTGTGGGCGTGGCTTGGTGGGCATGGCTTGGTGGGTGTAGCAAGGGAAGGATACTGCAAAATCCCCATTCCCTCTCCACTCCTGGGGGAAGGATATTGCAAAATCTCCATTTCCACCCCACTCTGGGGCCAGCCAGAGGTCGTATTTGCCAGTTCTCCGAACTCCTCAAAATTTCCGCTACCGGTTCTCCAGAACCTGTCAGAACCTGCTGGATTTCACCCCTGGTTTCCACCCGTTGCTTCTTCTTCTTCTTTTTTTTATTAAGTTTTTATTGTTAAAGAATTATAGTACAATTCCACCTTTCCGGTTTCATGGTGTTAATATACACATACATATACACATACATAATATTTGCTTATTATTTACATGGTATAGCCTCATTATCTTAATTTAAAAGGTACTGCCCGTAGGATTTCTTACTTATGTTATCCTTAATACCTATTATTACATTTTATTTACATAAACTTGCATCCTTACTCCATTTTACATCCACTGATTAATTGTTCTAACTGTCAGGAAATTTCTCCTTAGTTCTAAGTTGCTTTTCTCCTTGGTTAGTTTCCACCCATTGCTTCTTCTCCTGCCCTCAGGGGCTTTGGAGAATAGCTTGACTCCCTCTTCTTTGGGGCAGCCCCTGAGATACTGGAAGATGCTATCATGTCTCCCCTGGTCCTTCTCTTCATTAAACTAGACATACCCAGTTTCAGCAACTGTTTTTCATCTGTTTTATTCTCCAGGCTCCTATAAAATAAAAATGCCAATGTCTGATTTATTTATTTTTTTTAACTCTGATGTTGCCTACATCAATTTGCTATTGTTTTTTTTCCAGGAGCTCAAAGAAGCTTTCATGGGGATTAATCTTAATTGTTTCTTCAGGACCACAGCCCTGGGAGACACAGGGTGTGTCTGAGAGAATGAAGGACCGGCTAGAAAAATATCCCACAGGGTTTTTCTTTTTAATGAGGAAGAGGGTTTTTTTGGTAAAATCTTCAAATGCAGCAGGATTAAATAATAATAATAATAATAATAATAATAATAATAATAATAATAATAATAATTCCATATTTAATTATTCTGTAGCTGGTGGCTTTGAAAAGAAGAAAACACATCCACAATTGCGTGCACAAAGAATCTTCTAGGGTACCAAAGGAAAAAAAATATGTATGTATTTTTAAGGAGAGTTCATATCAGGTTTCCTGCTTGAGTCTTGGGTTAGACTAGAAGACCTCCAAGGTCCCTTCCAACTATTCTATTCTGTTATTCTATTCTATTCTATTCTATTCTATTCTATTCTATTCTATTCTATTCTATTCTATTCTATTCTATGCTATGCTATGCTATGCTATGCTATGCTATGCTATGCTATGCTATGCTATGCTATTCTACAGTATTCTACTCTACAGTATTCTACTCTACTCTATTCTATTCTACTCTACTCTATTCTATTCTACTCTACAGTATTCTACTCTAGTCTACTCTAGTCTACTCTAGTCTACTCTAGTCTACTCTACTCTAGTCTAGTCTACTCTATTCTATTCTATTTTACTCTACAGTATTCTACTCTAGTCTACTCTACTCTACACTACAGTATTCTACTCTACTCTACTCTACTCTACTACTCTACACTAGTCTATTCCTTTTCATCCCGCTGACTGCCCCACGATGAGTTGAAAATACTCAAAATAAGACAATTTTTCAGATAATGGTCATGTTGCTTTTTTTTTTTTTAAAAAAAAAAATGGGAATCACACCTAAACGGACTGAAGTTTCAAGGCAAGAGCTGAAATTCAGGGCAAGAGCTGAAACGACCCATCAAACACACACCACACAAACGGAAGGAAAAATGTGACACGTTTGTGGATACTCCGCTATTTTTACTAGCATATGAAACGGTCACTATGATTCACTCAGAAAAAAAAACAACACCGGCCATTTCTTTCCATAACCCAGCCATCTTTCAAAATACCTTTGAGGTTAAATCCCCGGCACTGAGTCATGGGGTTTCCATGTCTCACGTCTTGCCTTCGACTCCGCCTGCAACATTAAGGGAAAGGAAAGTTAGGTAGTTGCAAAATTTCACCAACTAGCCAATAGAGATAATAGAGAGAATTTGTAGCTCAGGGTTGAACTGTGGGGTCCTTGGCGCTCTCTGAGCTTGGTGGTTTTCTTGAAGACATTTCATGACCCAACTAGGTAACATCATCAGTGCTAGAAGGGAGTTAGGTGTGCAGAGAGAGGAGGAGGAGGAAGAGGAGGAGGAGGAGGAGGAGGAGGAGGAGGAGGAGGAGGAGGAGGAGGAGGAGAACTGTGGGGTCCTTGGTGCTCTCTGAGCTTGGTGGTTTTCTTGCAGATGTTTTATGACCCAACTAGGTAACATCATCAGTACTAGAAGGGAGTTAGGTGTGCAGAGAGGAGGAAGAGGAAGAGGAGGAGGAGGGGCAGGGGGAGGAGGAAGATGGATGTGGGGTCCTTGGTGCTCTCTGAGCTTGGTGGTTTTCTTGCAGACATTTCATTACCCAACCAGTAACATCATGGTGGCACAGTGGTTAGAATACAGTATTGCAGGCTGACTCTGTCAACTGTCAACAGTTTGATCTTGAACGGCTAAAGGTTGGCTCAGCCTTCCATCATTCCAAAGTCGGTAAAATAGAATAACAAGAGTTGGAAGGGAGCTTGGAAGTCTTCTAATCCAACCCCCTGCTTAGGCAGGAAACCCTACAGCACTTCAGACAAATGGTTATCCAACCTCTTCTTAAAAACTTCCAGTGTTGGAGCATTCACAACTTCTGGTGGCAAGTTGTTCCACTGGTCAATTGTTCTCACGGTCAGGAAATTCCTCCTTAGTTCTAAGTTGCTTCTCTCCTTGATTAGTTTCCACCCGTTGCTTCTTATCCTGCCTTCAGGAGCTTTGGAGAATAGCTCTTCTTTGTGGCAGCCCCCAATGAGGACCCAGATTGTTGGGGGCAAAATAGGTTTGAACGGATTTTGTGTGTGCTGCGTTCTTTGGGGTCCGTAGCTGGGGCAGAACAAACCGGATTTTTAGCATGTAAATCTTGATGTTCTTATTGTGATTTCTGGCTGGCTTCTTCTTCGCGAAAGAACATTTGTTTTGTTTTCCTTTTAGCATTGTTACGCTTAAAAAGAATTTGACCTGGGGGGGGGGGTTTAAAGCATTTCTCCGCAGCGCTTTCTTTTCATGTCTTGTACCACTCAAAGAGATCACAGACAGAGAAGAACAAGGGTTTGGTGGGGGTCTATTAGAAGTCGACGTGAAACAATGGAAAGATCCATTTCCAAAAGTGAAAAAAAAGAGCTTGGAAAATCGGTACGTCATTACCGTGACATGAAAAATATTTGGCAAAACACGCAGATGGCTTTTTCCCAACGAGGCCATGATCCAAACGCCTCGGAGTCATCTTTTGGGAACAAAACTTTGTAGGCATCCAATAGGGCACAGAAAAGAGACAGAACAAAATATTGTCTGCATGAAGGAGTTACTACTGGTGTCTAGACTCCCAGACTTGGCTGGTTACTGATAATTTTTCTCAATTATATATATTTATATATATATATTACTAGATAAAGGAATTAATTTCCTAAATATGTAAAACCCAGACTTCATTATCTATGCGTTTCCTTTTTTCCCATCAGAGCAAGCCCAAATATTACTCAAAAGGAGATGGTGAGCTCTATTGTGAAGGACTGGAAGATATTCGCAGACATTTCTCGATGTTCAGATCACATTTTGGCAAATTCTGAAACGTGCAGCAGGCGAGTATCGTATTTCAGAACAGAACATTACACTAACAATAGGAACACAGTGAAACCAGGCAGGTCTTTCGTTTTCTAAACGAAAATCTTTCAAGACAGACGACGCTTGCTGGAAAACATTCTAGATGAGCAGTCTGACTCTTTCAAAAATTTAGAAGCAGTGGAAGACATTCCTATTAGCAATAGCACTAGCAATAGATTTATATACCGCTTCACAGTGCTTTTACAGCCCTTTCTAAGTGGTTTACAGAGGCAGCATATTGCCCCCAACAATCTGGGTCCTCATTTTACCGACTTCGGAAGGAAGGGAGGAAGGCTGAGTCAACCTTGAGCCAGTCAGGATCGAACTCCTGGCAGTGGGCAGAATTAGCCTGCAATGCCACATTCTGACCACTGCACCACCACGACTCAGAGATAGAGATAGATAGATAGATGATGGATAGATAGATAGATAGATAGATAGATAGATAGATAGATGGATAATGGGGGGATGATTGGATGGGTGATAGACAGACAGAACTTAGCAATAGCACTTAGACTTATATATCACTTCACAGGGCTTCACGACCCTCTCTAAGCGGTTTACAGAGTCAGCCTCTTGCCCCCAACAATCTGGGTCCTCATTTTACCAACCTCGGAAGGATAGAAAGCTGAGTCAACTTTGAGCTGGTCAGGATTGAACTGCTGGCAGTGGGCAGAGTTAACCTGCAATATTGCATTCTAACCACTAGGAAGGAAGGAAGGAAGGAAGGAAGGAAGGAAGGAAGGAAGGAAGGAAGGAAGGAAGGAAGGAAGGAATAGCATTTATACTTATATACTGCTTCATAGTGCTTCACAGCCCTCTCTAAGCAGTTTACAGAGTCAGCCTATTGCCCCCAACAATCTGGGTCCTCATTTTACTGACCTCGGAAGGACGGAAGGCTGAGTCAACCTTGAGCCTGGTGAGAATCGAACTGCCGAACTGCAGGCAGCCGGCAGTCAGCAGAAATAGCCTGCAGGACTGCACTCTAGCCACTGTGCCAGTGCGGCTATTACATCACAGCCACGTGAACAAAATATTAACACCACAACCACATTTCTTTCTGCCAATCTTATCCGTTGGCTTGTCCTCCTTCACCTTTTGCCCGTTGGGTAGAACCTGGAGCAGGAGTTGCCATCCCAGGCACAATAAGGGTCTCGGGCCAGGCAGCAGTCGGCACAGGCGGTCCCGTAGATGTGGCAACGGTGCAAGGAGACCTGGGTGATGCCTTCATCGGAGCTGACGTACAACTGTTGCTGTTGGAAAAGCAAGGGAGAAGTTTGGGGTGGCAGCTTCTGGAACTGAAGGAAGATGTCCAGGCTGAATGCAGCAAATGGAGATCTGCCCCTCCCCCACCTCATCCCTTGACCCCTTCAAAGGATCACAAAGCCAAGAACTGACTTGCTCAGGCCAAAATGAATGCAAGGAAGTCTCTGGTTATTATTGCATGATGAGGCCCTTTTAGGAAATATGTGGGAATGATCTTAAAATTTTCAAAACTTTGAAGGTCTGTCTTTCTGTTTGTCTGTCTGTCTGTCTGTTTATCTGCCTGCCTCTCTCTCTCTCTCTCTCTTTCCAGCTATCTATCATCTATCATCTA